GCGAAGTTGGTTGACTGTGTCCTGTAGGCCTTATTGTTCTCGCTTTATTCAAAGTCATCGTAATGATTAAATGTGTGCGCTTCGTCAGCCCTTGAACTAGGATTTTCTATATCGTGTTCCGCCTAGCCTAGGTGTTCAGCAATGATTTACAACTGAGAATTATGTGATTTCAGTTTTAGAATTGCGAGTGAGCATAGCAAGGCGTATACTAAGTAATTGGGAAATTGTGTGAATCAGTCAAAAATGCGAGCACAACCTGACATCACTGAACTTGTGAGTGTCCTTTGTAGAATACTTTTGAAGCTCACAATCTGTCCTAGTTTGCTAATGAATGATTGACACGACCGAAGCATTGTCTCAAGCTACCTATATACTCCATGATAGTTTAAACCGGAAAGTTTTTATAACATTTCCTAAAGTGTGTCATTCATTTTCGTTGTTTTCCTTGATTTGTTGCATGGGATAAAATATTTATATTGGAGTAGTTTGTCATCATGATTTCATGTGGTGTTAGTGACCGAATTGTACCATGTTAGTTGGTCGGAGGCAATCGACACGAAGTCGTGAACCCAGGCTTCGTGCTCGCTGGCACTCGTCAGTAAGGTGTACCTGGAATCTTGAGAGCGATGGACGTCCTGTGTGGACTTCGAACCCATGCCAATCAGTGTCATAGTCAAAGGTGTTAGCACGAAGCGATTCGGGCTTCTACCGACTGTTATATCTGACTCAAGCATATGATTTAGCACACCGATTACTTTTGTTCATTGCAACATTTTTATCCTTACGATGCCAGTAGAGTTTCTCCTCCTGACATTCTATTGACTAATCAGTTGTGAAAGAACTGAGTTTTGGTTTATTGCAATTCTATCTGTTGATTATCATAATAATAATGATAATAATAATTCTAATTCTAATAATCATTATTATTACTAATGGCACTATTCAATAATATATTTTGGTACAACATAGATTCTCAGCACGAGGTTTGTGTGTGAAACATATCTCCATACCACAAAATTGCAAAGTGGCTGGTGCGAATCTTAGAGCTTTTGCACAAATCAGTTGTTAGAAATAGTGTAAAAGATGTCTTCGAATTCACCACTAAATTGGAAAATATAAATGTCAACATGAAAAATATGATCTCTCTTGATGTAGTATCTTTGTTCACCAACGTACCACTTATGGAGACTATCGAGTTTATATGCAAGCAAATATCAGAAAAACAAATCAACATTGGCTTGCCTGAAGATAGTCTAAAGGAACTGCTCCTAAGATGCACTCTGAATGGCCATTTTGTCTTCAACAATAGTTATTATAGACAAATAGACGGAATAGCCATGGGCTCACCTCTAGGCCCGATTTTAGCTGATCTCTTTCTAGCAAAGTTAGAAAATGGACCTCTTAATGAGACTGTTAAGAAGCTTGATTTATATTGCCGCTACATTGACGACACTTTCATTGTCGCAGATCAAAACACCAGTAAGGAGAAACTCCTAGAACAATTTAACAGTGTTCACCCAGCGATCAGTTTCACTGGTGAATGCGAGCATGACAAAAAGCTGAACTTCCTTGACGTCACACTAAGCAGACGATGTGATGGCACATTAAGTAGAAGCGTGTATAGAAAAAGCCCCTCTACCTGCCAATATACCCACTTCTGCAGTTTCACACCTATCCGCTACAAGAGAAATTTGGTTAGATGTCTCACAAGCAGAGCAAAAAAGATTTGTACAGGTGATACTTTAAGTCAGGAGCTTGAATTTATTAACAACTCACTGACCGAGATCGGCTACCCCGGTGCTTTCATTAAGAAGTACATGTATGATATAATAAAGAAGTCGGAGATTTCGACTGTTCGTAAGAAACCTTTATACATGAAACTACAATTCAACGGGGATGTGGCTAGTGATACTCTGAAATATAGGTTAACGAAAGTAATCAACAGAACATTTTACGCAGCCAATCTTGCGTTGACTTTCTCTTGTCGACCAGCGATGTCTACTCAAACGAAGGATAAGTTACCTGAGTTGGTCTCCTCAATGTGCATTTACAAATTCAGCTGCTCCTGTGGAGATAGCTATATCGGGCGTACTACCAGGCAACTTAACCAACGAATGAGTGAACATCTACCAACTTGGTTCATAAACGGCCAGATAAAAACAGTACGCAGTTCAATCCTGGCGCATCTTATTGATAGTGGTCATGCGGTAGATAAATCCAAATCATTTCGAGTGATCTATCGTATACCCCCATCATTTCCCAATGGAGTTCGTTCCCGTCTCCTACATATAGCTGAAGCCATAGGAATCCGTACATATAACCCCAATCTATGTGTACAAAAGAAATTTGTAACCCCCCTATCCCTTCCATGGCCAGTGATAACTTAACTAACGATTAATTTTTTTTTTTATTTCTTTATGATTACTATTATTATTAATATTCTATCATTAACCTTATTTACTTATCCATTATTTGTTTGGAATTATTCGCCTCTTTACATTTGCATTCTTCACTATCTAATTATTTACACACTTCTTATTACGTGACCAGATTGCGACACTACGGATCATCGTCGAACAATCAATTGAGTGGAACTCGTCACTCTACATCAACTTCATTGATTATGAGAAGGCATTTGACAGTGTAGATAGGAGGACGTTATGGAAACTTCTTCGACACTACGGAGTTCCTGAGAAGATTGTCAACATTATCCGGAACTCATACGACGGACTACAGTGCAAAGTAGTGCATGGAGGACAGCTGACAGAGGCATTCCAAGTAAGGACCGGAGTAAGACAAGGCTGTCTACTCTCTCCCATCCTCTTTCTTCTGGTGGTCGACTGGATTATGAAGACCTCGACATCTGAGAGAAACTACGGCATACGATGGACAGCTCAGAACCAATTAGACGACTTGGACTTCGCAGATGACCTAGCCCTCCTATCACATACACACGAACAAATGCAGATAAAGACAGCCAGCATAGCAGCAGTCTCTGCATCAGTAGGCCTCAACATACACAAAGGGAAAACCAAGGTCCTCAAACACAACACGGAGAACAGCAATCCAATCACTCTTGATGGCGAAACTCTGGAAGACGTGGAATCCTTCACATACCTGGGAAGCATCGTCGATAAACAAGGAGGTTCAGATGCAGACGTCAAGGCGAGGATTGGCAAAGCTAGAGCGGCATTCCTTCAACTGAAGAACATATGGAACTCAAAACAACTTTCAACCAATATCAAAGTCAGAATCTTCAATACGAACGTCAAGGCAGTTCTACTGTACGGAGCTGAAACTTGGAAAACTACAACAACCACCATCAAGAAGGTACAAGTATTTATTAATAGCTGTCTACGCATGATACTCAACATCCATTGGCCGGATACCATCAGCAACAGCCTTCTGTGGGAGAGAACCAACCAGCTTCCAGCTGAAGAGGAAATTAGGAAAAGACGATGGAAATGGATAGGACATACATTGAGGAAATCATCAAACTGCATTACGAGACAAGCGCTAACTTGGAATCCTGAAGGGAAGCGGAAAAGAGGAAGGCCAAAGAACACATTACGTCGGGAAATAGAAGCGGATATGAAAGGGATGAATAAGAAATGGAAAGAGCTTGAAAGGATTGCCCAGGACAGGGTTGGATGGAGAATGCTGGTGAGCGGCCTATGCTCCTTCACGAGGAGTAACAGGCGTAAGTAAGTAAGTTCTTATTACGTAATGATTTTAATGTTTTGTGATAACTACTCCATTTACCCATGTTTGACCTACTATTTCCAATGTTTAACTATTGATAAGACTTTTGTTATCGTATTTTATTATTCCTACCTACTATCAGTACACCTGTCTTCCTACTATCAACTTGTACTTTTATCTATTATGTGTGATGACTTATCCCATTTCATTATAATTACTGACCCAAAATTGCCTTGATTGGTTTAACATTTTCGTATAAATATTACTGTATATTAGAGTAAAGTCTGATGATGATCTAATTGAAAACAATTGTTCGCTTATATGTGTTGTTCTAATTTTCACAATGGGAATTTTTAATTTACTAAAATCTTCATCTGTTGATCAGTCTCTTGACTTCCTACAGGAGTCTATCTAGTCACTTCGACAATCAACGATAATTCAGTCGACCACAACGATCATGTCACCGACCTCCTGTAGGACTGAGATATTTACACTGGTTCATCACAGAGTGGTAACCAATCCCATGTTTGTCTAATTCTGAATGATGATCGAATTCTATCGAACACTTGAACAAGTAGCCACATTGCAACTGCACGGATGGAATTGGATCAGCATTAAGAAGTAGGCAAACATGACATAATGATGTACAATAGGGCATAGTTACAGCTCGGTAATTAACTAGTATGAACTGAACTATGCCCTACCCCTAAATATCACACGTGTTAGTTCAACTACTTATAGTTGTGTCAGTAGTGAAACTCGATATTGGAATGTTTTTCGTGTTCGGAGTTGTGAATGAGTGAATGGGATAGGTGCACGTCTTAGATTTTGTCCATTTGTCCACACTGGCCGGACAATTGCGTTTGTATTAGGCACTCTGCATTGCATTGTGTTTAGGGAGGCTGTGTGTCAAATTTTGACTAGGAAACCATCTTGTTTGTGAGCATTTGGTCAGTAGTCTGGTAGTTGAGTGTGATTGGCCAATAGTGAATATACTTGTCGACAGGCCATTGGTCGATTGTTTTCTATCGAAGGTCATCGAAACTTCTAGTATGTTCTACGCGCAAAGGATTTAAGCAGGTGCACAGCTTGCAGTGGTATTAATTGAGTGATTCGATTTTCTGTGTTTGTTCGTTTTAACGTATCTCGAAATGCCTAACGCCATTGGGATCGATCTTGGTACAACATATTCGTGTGTTGGTGTTTTCCAGCATGGCAAAGTGGAGATAATTGCCAATGATCAGGGTAACAGAACGACACCGAGTTATGTGGCGTTCACAGATGCTGAGCGTTTAATTGGTGATGGAGCGAAGAACCAAGTGGCGATTAATCCAACAAATACAGTGTTTGATGCGAAGCGGCTAATCGGTCGTCGGTTCGATGATCCATCAGTGCAGAGTGATATGAAGCATTGGCCATTCGAGGTGGTTCAAGTCGGTGGGAAGCTGAAGATTCGTGTTGAATATAAGGGTGAGAAGAAGTTGTTCTCCGCGGAGGAGATTTCGTCAATGGTGTTGACGAAAATGAAGGAGGTTGCTGAAAGTTATTTGGGCAGGACGGTGAGTGACGCGGTTATAACAGTTCCTGCTTACTTCAATGACAGTCAACGTCAAGCGACTAAAGATGCAGGTGCTATAGCTGGTCTTAATGTGTTGAGAATCATTAACGAGCCGACAGCTGCGGCAATTGCCTATGGTTTAGACAAGAAGGTTGGTGGTGAGCGTAATGTGTTGATATTTGATTTGGGTGGTGGTACATTTGATGTGTCCATCTTGACGATTGAGGATGGTATATTCGAGGTGAAGTCTACTGCTGGTGATACACACTTGGGAGGTGAAGATTTTGACAATCGTCTAGTGGATCACTTTGTGAAAGAGTTCCAGAAGAAATTCGGTAAAGACATTCGTGACAATAAGCGTGCATTGCGTCGCTTGAGGACAGCGTGTGAACGTGCGAAACGTACATTGAGTTCGAGCACCCAGACAAATCTGGAGATTGACTCGTTGTGTGATGGTATTGATTTTTACACGTCGATTACTCGTGCACGATTTGAGGAGTTGAATGCCGATCTATTCCGTGGTACATTGGATCCTGTTGAGAAGGCTTTACGCGATGCTAAGATGGATAAAGCCCAGATTCACGACATAGTGTTGGTTGGTGGTTCCACTCGTATCCCTAAGGTGCAGAAGCTGTTGCAGGACTTCTTCAACGGGAAGGAGTTGAACAAATCCATTAATCCGGATGAAGCTGTGGCTTATGGTGCAGCTGTGCAGGCAGCCATTCTAAGTGGTGACAAGTGTGAGGCTGTGCAGGACTTGCTGTTGCTTGACGTGGCTCCACTGTCACTGGGTCTTGAAACGGCTGGAGGTGTGATGACGGCTCTGATTAAGCGTAACACGACAATTCCGACGAAGCAGACTCAAACGTTCACGACGTACTCGGACAACCAGCCTGGTGTGCTTATTCAGGTGTTCGAGGGTGAGCGTGCTCTGACGAAGGACAACAATCTGCTTGGCAAGTTCGAACTCTCAGGTATCCCACCTGCTCCTCGTGGTACTCCCCAGATTGAGGTGACGTTTGATATAGACGCGAACGGTATTCTGAACGTATCTGCTGTTGACAAGGGTACAGGGAAACAGAACAAGATAACGATCACAAATGACAAGGGTCGTTTGACGAAGGAGGAGATTGAACGGATGGTAGCTGATGCGGACAAGTACAAGGCTGAGGATGAGAAGCAGAGAGATCGTGTTTCTGCGAAGAACTCGCTTGAGAGTTATGTGTACACAATGAAACAGCAAGTGGAGGGTGAGCTTAAAGAAAAGATATCTGAAAGTGATCGTCAAGTGATATTAAGTAAGTGTGAGGATACAATTGGTTGGTTGGACCTCCATCAGTTGGCGGAGAAGCATGAGTATGAAAATAAGCGGGAGGAGTTGGAGAAGGTCTGTGCGCCGATAATTACGAAGGTGTACCAGGCTGGTGGTATGCCAGGAGGCATGCATGAAGCAGGTGGTGCTAGTGGTGGAAGTGGTAGTAGTTATCGGTTGTTTGGTGGTACGGGGTCAGGGTTTCGTTATTCGCGAGTAGTGAATATCGTTGTCTAGTGTCTGGTCGTTCAGTGTAGGATAGTGAGCGCTCTCTATCTCGTCCCGCACTCTATGTTGCGAAAGGCTTGTTAAGTTGAGTGTTGTGAACCTGTACGTGTGCGACGTGGCGTTTGTACCTCAGGACTATTGGTTGCGATTTAAATAGCACATCGTCTGTTCCTAGTTTATTTGACCGGAGTAGTTGTGGGACGTTGTTGCGTATACGTCAAGAAGACTGGGTGAATAGTTTGTGTGACTGTATGTTTCGATGGGGATTTTGGTGTAGTTGTAGTTGGTGAGTGGAGTGATAAGGCTATTCGTCGAGTGTTGTTGAGACTAATGAGCAGTTTGTTGAAGACAGGCGACTCGTCAGTCAGTCATCTACATGGTAGGACCTTGAGGGACGGTTGTTCCAGCCAGTATAGCTCAGTTGGTTCATCACGATAGGTAAGCCCGGCCACCACGTCAGGGTAGCGACAACGGTCGGGTAGGCGACTCGTGATTTTGGTCTGTAAGTGCATTTGCTCGAGAACTCGGCTAACGAGCCAGTTAAGTGGTATGATTTCTTCTGAGATGGTTAGTGTTTAGTTTTAGTTGATTAGTGTGAACGGTCTCCAGTTCCTAGTTAGTTAATTACTGTGAAACAACAGAGGAGTTGTAAAATAAGTAGGGATAACGATGCACGTGTCTCACATAGTATTCCACGTTGGGATATGTAGTTTGGTGAAGTGTAATCAGCGTTTACTGAATTGCTAGAAGTGCCTATGTTTCATGGAGTCAGTTGACCACAGTGTGTCGAAGAACGGATGGTCGGTCAGTTGGATAATCCTATGTATGGAGGTGAATTTATTATAAGCTATATATGGTCGTCGGAGTTATAAACCTTTTACGTTGTAATTGGTAGGTATGTGTTCAGACTTGTAGGTGGTGATCAGACTGGTTGTCTTTTAATTCCGCGAAACGATGTGTGAGGTTGTTTGGAGATGCCTACATGTGGCTGAAATAGAAGTGGCGTTCGTGTACGCAACAACTGGAGGGGAGGGGTAAGATGGTGCGTATGTATGGATGAGCATGTTTGTAAGCTGGCATATTGGCCTTGCATCTTGTATGCTGATCTCAATTGAGTCAACTAGTGCGAGATGTGGACGGTGCAGTCATGTCGCATTCATGCAACTAGGTGAGTTTCCAGTGAGTCAACGAAGCTTCCTGTGGGCAAAGCCGGACTTTCAGGATGAGATGAATTCGTGTCTTTAATTGAGCGCTTCCCGTGAACTAGAATCAGTCTAGAATTACAACATTTAATATTAGAATATAATAGCCACCATACCATGGATGTTTGATCAATCCATAGAGAATGGTGTGAAACCATGTTTTATAAACATTGTTAATTTGGCTGTGGTAGTATAGAGAAAGAGAGTAGTGAGTGTGAGTTGAAGTATATTAATAAAAGTAACTAGGGTACGTATGGGATTATTAGTGGATGAGAAGAGGTGGTGGGGCGAAGTTGGTTGACTGTGTCCTGTAGGCCTTATTGTTCTCGCTTTATTCAAAGTCATCGTAATGATTAAATGTGTGCGCTTCGTCAGCCCTTGAACCTAGGATTTTCTATATCGTGTTCCGCCTAGCCTAGGTGTTCAGCAATGATTTACAACTGAGAATTATGTGATTTCAGTTTTAGAATTGCGAGTGAGCATAGCAAGGCGTATACTAAGTAATTGGGAAATTGTGTGAATCAGTCAAAAATGCGAGCACAACCTGACGTCACTGAACTTGTGAGTGTCCTTTGTAGAATACTTTTGAAGCTCACAATCTGTCCTAGTTTGCTAATGAATGATTGACACGACCGAAGCATTGTCTCAAGCTACCTATATACTCCATGATAGTTTAAACCGGAAAGTTTTTATAACATTTCCTAAAGTGTGTCATTCATTTTCGTTGTTTTCCTTGATTTGTTGCATGGGATAAAATATTTATATTGGAGTAGTTTGTCATCATGATTTCATGTGGTGTTAGTGACCGAATTGTACCATGTTAGTTGGTCGGAGGCAATCGACACGAAGTCGTGAACCCAGGCTTCGTGCTCGCTGGCACTCGTCAGTAAGGTGTACCTGGAATCTTGAGAGCGATGGACGTCCTGTGTGGACTTCGAACCCATGCCAATCAGTGTCATAGTCAAAGGTGTTAGCACGAAGCGATTCGGGCTTCTACCGACTGTTATATCTGACTCAAGCATATGATTTAGCACACCGATTACTTTTGTTCATTGCAACATTTTTATCCTTACGATGCCAGTAGAGTTTCTCCTCCTGACATTCTATTGACTAATCAGTTGTGAAAGAACTGAGTTTTGGTTTATTGCAATTCTATCTGTTGATTATCATAATAATAATGATAATAATAATTCTAATTCTAATAATCATTATTATTACTAATGGCACTATTCAATAATATATTTTGGTACAACATAGAATTCTCAGCACGAGGTTTGTGTGTGAAACATATCTCCATACCACAAAATTGCAAAGTGGCTGGTGCGAATCTTAGAGCTTTTGCACAAATCAGTTGTTAGAAATAGTGTAAAAGATGTCTTCGAATTCACCACTAAATTGGAAAATATAAATGTCAACATGAAAAATATGATCTCTCTTGATGTAGTATCTTTGTTCACCAACGTACCACTTATGGAGACTATCGAGTTTATATGCAAGCAAATATCAGAAAAACAAATCAACATTGGCTTGCCTGAAGATAGTCTAAAGGAACTGCTCCTAAGATGCACTCTGAATGTCCATTTTGTCTTCAACAATAGTTATTATAGACAAATAGACGGAATAGCCATGGGCTCACCTCTAGGCCCGATTTTAGCTGATCTCTTTCTAGCAAAGTTAGAAAATGGACCTCTTAATGAGACTGTTAAGAAGCTTGATTTATATTGCCGCTACATTGACGACACTTTCATTGTCGCAGATCAAAACACCAGTAAGGAGAAACTCCTAGAACAATTTAACAGTGTTCACCCAGCGATCAGTTTCACTGGTGAATGCGAGCATGACAAAAAGCTGAACTTCCTTGACGTCACACTAAGCAGACGATGTGATGGCACATTAAGTAGAAGCGTGTATAGAAAAAGCCCCTCTACCTGCCAATATACCCACTTCTGCAGTTTCACACCTATCCGCTACAAGAGAAATTTGGTTAGATGTCTCACAAGCAGAGCAAAAAAGATTTGTACAGGTGATACTTTAAGTCAGGAGCTTGAATTTATTAACAACTCACTGACCGAGATCGGCTACCCCGGTGCTTTCATTAAGAAGTACATGTATGATATAATAAAGAAGTCGGAGATTTCGACTGTTCGTAAGAAACCTTTATACATGAAACTACAATTCAACGGGGATGTGGCTAGTGATACTCTGAAATATAGGTTAACGAAAGTAATCAACAGAACATTTTACGCAGCCAATCTTGCGTTGACTTTCTCTTGTCGACCAGCGATGTCTACTCAAACGAAGGATAAGTTACCTGAGTTGGTCTCCTCAATGTGCATTTACAAATTCAGCTGCTCCTGTGGAGATAGCTATATCGGGCGTACTACCAGGCAACTTAACCAACGAATGAGTGAACATCTACCAACTTGGTTCATAAACGGCCAGATAAAAACAGTACGCAGTTCAATCCTGGCGCATCTTATTGATAGTGGTCATGCGGTAGATAAATCCAAATCATTTCGAGTGATCTATCGTATACCCCCATCATTTCCCAATGGAGTTCGTTCCCGTCTCCTACATATAGCTGAAGCCATAGGAATCCGTACATATAACCCCAATCTATGTGTACAAAAGAAATTTGTAACCCCCCTATCCCTTCCATGGCCAGTGATAACTTAACTAACGATTAATTTTTTTTTTTTATTTCTTTATGATTACTATTATTATTAATATTCTATCATTAACCTTATTTACTTATCCATTATTTGTTTGGAATTATTCGCCTCTTTACATTTGCATTCTTCACTATCTAATTATTTACACACTTCTTATTACGTGACCAGATTGCGACACTACGGATCATCGTCGAACAATCAATTGAGTGGAACTCGTCACTCTACATCAACTTCATTGATTATGAGAAGGCATTTGACAGTGTAGATAGGAGGACGTTATGGAAACTTCTTCGACACTACGGAGTTCCTGAGAAGATTGTCAACATTATCCGGAACTCATACGACGGACTACAGTGCAAAGTAGTGCATGGAGGACAGCTGACAGAGGCATTCCAAGTAAGGACCGGAGTAAGACAAGGCTGTCTACTCTCTCCCATCCTCTTTCTTCTGGTGGTCGACTGGATTATGAAGACCTCGACATCTGAGAGAAACTACGGCATACGATGGACAGCTCAGAACCAATTAGACGACTTGGACTTCGCAGATGACCTAGCCCTCCTATCACATACACACGAACAAATGCAGATAAAGACAGCCAGCATAGCAGCAGTCTCTGCATCAGTAGGCCTCAACATACACAAAGGGAAAACCAAGGTCCTCAAACACAACACGGAGAACAGCAATCCAATCACTCTTGATGGCGAAACTCTGGAAGACGTGGAATCCTTCACATACCTGGGAAGCATCGTCGATAAACAAGGAGGTTCAGATGCAGACGTCAAGGCGAGGATTGGCAAAGCTAGAGCGGCATTCCTTCAACTGAAGAACATATGGAACTCAAAACAACTTTCAACCAATATCAAAGTCAGAATCTTCAATACGAACGTCAAGGCAGTTCTACTGTACGGAGCTGAAACTTGGAAAACTACAACAACCACCATCAAGAAGGTACAAGTATTTATTAATAGCTGTCTACGCATGATACTCAACATCCATTGGCCGGATACCATCAGCAACAGCCTTCTGTGGGAGAGAACCAACCAGCTTCCAGCTGAAGAGGAAATT